AATGAATAATAAAGTAATAATGAAAGTATGTCTAATGACATACTTTATGAAAATGTTCTTTTAATACAAAAGTCTTATTTGTTTGAAGTTACTATTATCCGTCGATGTACTTGTTGTAGAAACTGGGTCCATTTTTTTATTATTGACAATACTACTGTATGATACATCACAGGTACTTCTTGTAGATGAGTTCTTTGTCGACTGTTTGGATTCCAATGAACTTGAAGAAGAAGCACGAATAGATTTCTTATTTTCTTCTTCCTCTTCTTCTTCTTGTTCTTCTAGCAGTGGGAACATCTTATAAGCTGGTGATGTATGTTTAATTGGATTATTTTTGTTTGAGAATATTGGATGAATGTTTGATATTGCAGGAGAAACCGACAACGAATTTGAATTATTATCATTTGATTTTAATTGATGATTCACCTCAGAAATCCAATGTGAGATATAAGGTTCGTATATAATACGAATTTTGCGAGTGGGTGTTCCATCAAGTAGTTTATTATGATCAATATTTCGTTTTCTTTTATATGAATCAATAACACCAATTTGATATTTGTTAGACTTGTCCATGAATGCGTTATCTGAAGAGTATTTTGGCGAAGTAAATGAATGACATATTGGTGATTCATGCCAGTAATGTCCTGTTGGCTGACGTGAACCGCGTGGCGTCCAACTATAGAGAGAAGGCAATGATCTTCTACTGGCGGATTTGAACAGCAAGCTGTGGCTGTTGGCACTGCTACTAAAACTCTGAGATGCCTTATCGTTTGATTGTTTTCTATGATTAGTTTTATTCATAATTGCTGATTTGTCTGATTCAACAGCAGTTTTCATTGTATCCTGTCCATATTGTGGATATTTTCTTTTTGAGTAAAAATAGCTATCATATGATGTGTCGCGCTTTTTAATATATTCATCTGAAATAATAACAGCACCAGGTGGAAGTGGTGGTAATTTATGTGGCCATGTAAATTTAGTCATATATGTATTTGTACGAGGATAGTGTTGTTGTATTGCTGGATGATGAAGTAGTTGTGTACTTCGATCATTACTAAGTTGAACATTAGGATTCGAACCATCAGTAGGAATGTGATGACAAGTAGAACATTTTTGAAACTTAGAATGATCTGTAACTGTTACATTTAGTGGTGGTGGTGGTACACATGCACGACATATATTGGAATAGTTATTGTTTGGTAGTTGAGGAACGGATGATACTGAATTAGAATATGGTAATAAAGGTGATGTATTTGATGATAACAGTGGCATACTGTTTGGTTGTGAAGCATATTGAGGTGCTTGACAATATGGCATTGGCATCATTGATGGTTGTTGTAAAGGTAGTGGATAAGTTGGTGCAAATGATTGAGGTGATTGCCAATTTGGAGTAAAGGGAAATGTTGCAACTGGATTAGAATATTGTTGTATGACCCTTTGTTGAACAGCAGGTGTAAGTGGTAATGATGATATTTGTGGTAAAGGTGGTGGTAATGGTAATGAACACAAAGGTTGTGCTATATGATTGAAAAGAAATGGTGGCACATTCTAAATGATAAACAAATATTTTTATATCGTATGATATGATTTTGTGATTTGTTGAAAGAACATGATTGCTTACCAATGGACCTGTACATGTCTGTGCCAGAGATGATGCATATGGTGGTATAAAAATAACTCTAATCTTTGGTGATAGACTGTTAGTGTTACTAAAATTTGCGAGACCGGCATTTGACCAACCTCCATAATTTGAATTTGAAGTATAACCATATCCTAAGTTTTGACTAGTTTCAACATCTACGAAGTCCGCATTTCCAAAAACTGGATAAGGAGGATACTGTCTCTCTCTTTCATATTGATGTACAAGAGGTCTACTGTACGTTTTAGGAATAGTTTCTGTATATGTAGATAATAAGAAAGAATTTTCAAAATATTTTTCTTGATGTTTGTATGTTTTATTGATATAAGGCCAAGTTTGTTGAGATTGATATGGATCATCTAATTGATTCGA